ATATATATATATATATATATATTAATGCTCTCATATATAATGTGATATATTAAAAAAATTAATTTTTGATAAAATAAAATTTGCAGCATGTATGTTTACCTTTTATACTTTCAATTTATTGTATATGTTGATTAAAAAGATCAAAATAGTAAAAATAGTGAGATTGTATATGTTGATTAAAAAAAATAAAAATAGAAAAGATTAGAAGATTTACATTCTATTTATAATTTTTATTATAAAATATATTTTAAACTAAATTATCATTTTAAAATTTATATCATATATTAATAATATGTTTATATCATAAATCAAACTTGATTTTTATAAGATTTAACATATTTATTTTTATGTTTTTATTAGTGTTAAAATATGATAAAGTAGGTCTTTAAGATTGTAGTTCTAATCAAATATTTTAAAAATGTCTATGATAGATAAATAAGTTATATTTAGGACATGTATTTTTTAAAAAAAGTTAGGTTTAAACCTATTAAATTATAATATAACATAGTTTAACCTAGTTTATTTTCATCCTTAATCATAATCATAGATATAAAAATTTGTAAAAAATAATTATGATATATGTTTAGATATAAATTATGATATATACTTTTAAGAGTTATATATAAAAAATTTAATATTACAAATATATGAATAAATTTTGCCCCCACTATCTAAAGTTTCTGGATCCGTCACTGCTTAAAATATATATTTTTAAAGAAAGTTAGGTTCAAACCCACTAAATTATAATAAAATATAGTGTGACCAAATTTATTTTCATCTTTAATACTAATCGTAGATATAAAAAACTTGTAATAAATAATTATAATATATATTTATACCTTTAAAATATATATAAAATTTTTAATACTACAAATATATATAAGAAATTAAAAATAATAAATTAAAAACAAGAAATTAAAATATGAAATTAAAAATAGGAATTAAAAATAAGAATTAAAAATAAGAAATTTCTGACAAAATATTCCGTCGAAAATTTTTCGTCAGAAATTTCTGACGGATTTATTTTTCCTTCAAAAATTTTCGACAGAATTTTCCGTCGAAAAGTTTCTGTCAGAAATTTCCGATGGATTTATATTTCCGTTGAAAATTTTTGACAGAAAATTTTTTACGGAAAATTCTGTCAAAATTTTTTAACGGAAATATAAATCCGTAAAAATTTTCGACAAAAATATCCGTCAGAAAATTCTGCCAGAAATTTCCGACAGATCCATATTTGTCAGAAATTTTCCGTCGAAAATTTACATTTTTCTTGTAGTGACTTCTCATTTTCATTTTTTGACTAGTTCATGAACTTCCATGTGTATGAAGACTTTTAAGAATTATGTTGTATATAATCTTGTAAAGAGTTAGTTGTGCATTTTGTATATGGATTTGGGTATCCTTGTACCATTTATTTAATATATGCTTGTTTTATCGATAAAAAAATAATTTGACTAGTATTTGCATTCCATATATGAATTAATCTTGAAATTTAATTCTACGAGATTGTAATAGGATCATAGCATACATATCCACCAGATTATGTCAGAAAATTATAACAATAAAAAAGAAAAATGAAGGAACATTAATATAACCATGGAAAGAATGAAACATTATTGGTGACAAGACTTCATGGAGCAAAAGTCAGGGTACACCTTAGTGATCCTTTCGTCTCTATCTCTCATATCCCTCCATACCTAATATTGTACCAATGTTTAGACGAAGAACAAAAGCCAAAATCTCTTCCATTTCTTTGTCTATAAATACACAAGCCTCACATGACATTCCTCCCATAATTCCACACCAAGCTGGTTATTAACTATAGCCATTTTCATCAAACATCATTCTACACCTTTCAAAGAGCATCTATTCTCACTTACGCACAAAGGGAAAGTAATCATGGCCCTCCAAAGACACCACCTTGCACTCCTTGTCATCATGATTTCTTTTGTTGCTAGTCATGGCACCGTGCTAAAAGAACCACTTGGTTTATTTGATGATGATTCTTCTTACGTCGATGATGGTGGCACGTTCAGGGACTTTATTATCAAGCAGAATGAAGATGTTTTGACCTTAAAGAGTTTTGACAACTTGGGTCACAATTCTAGATCTCCTTCGCTTAAAACGGTTAACGTTAATGATTATGGAGCTAAAGGAGATGGTAAAACCGATGACACTCAGGTACATATTCTCAACTAAACCAAATCATTGTCACATATTTATATATTATCATTGGCATACACTTCATTGAAATTAATGTCATATACTAACGAAAAAAATATAGCAACTACTAAACTTCTTTCCGTATGTATAGTTTTTGTCTCATAAAAAACGTGTTAGCACGATGAAATCATATTATTAATATAGATTTACGATATCTAAAATAATAGTTTTTTTTTATTATAAAAATTTATGTGAATGCACACCGAGCTTAAGTTTAACGATTAAATTTTTTTTCTAATAGACTTTGTTTAATAAAAGCTTTGTTAGTATGATAAATTATATTATTAATGTAAATTTACGTTATTTTTAATAATAGTTTAATTTTCATTAGACAAATTTATGTTAATATTGGTAGTAATTTTAACCAATAATTTTTTTCTTATGGTATTTTACAGTATTATTCTTTTGTTAGTACCGTAAATAACGTTAATATATCGTGATTCTCAGTTGAAAATGATGATACTAGATTACTATGTGTGATGTTAACTTTCTATGTATAACATCTCGGCATATGTCACATTCTCATGCACTCTTTTGTGTATTAGTATTCTGTGTATAAAAAAGATAACTATGACTATGGGCTATTTCAGGCATTCTATAAGGCTTGGCAGGTAGCATGTTCTTCTTCAGCAGCAGTTATTGTGGTGCCTCAGAAGAACTATCTACTCAAGCCAATCACATTTTCTGGCCCTTGCAAATCCAACATCGCAGTTCAGGTAATTAGTTAGGCACAAGTTAAAATATTTCCATGCATTAATTAATTAACCTACAATTATGTGATATGATCTGCAACATATTTAGTAACTTAATTTACGATGATATGGGATGGAAAAAACTTCAGATTTCCGGAACCCTTGAAGCCTCAGGTAACCCATCAGATTACAGCAAAGACCGCACACACTGGCTTATGTTCGATAATGTTCACAAACTATCAGTTAAAGGTGGTGGAACCATCGATGGGAATGGTAACATATGGTGGAAAAACTCATGCAAAACGAACAAAAAACTTGTAAGATATTACAAATTACAATATTGTTATCTATTTAATTAATACATAAATATTATTATGATATGTTAACCATTCTTCTTATGTTTCTCTCTTTGCAGCCTTGCAAGGATGCCCCCACGGTATGTATATATATAGATCTCTTGAATCTTGATAGTATTAAAAATTTAGTGACTTTATAAAGTGAAAATTTTGTATTTTTATTCGTAAACGTTAAATAAGTGGGACCTTATTATATTTACGAAGAGATACAAAAAATTTCTATACAACAGAGTACTTGATAATTTAGAATGAGAAGTTCATCCCCAAATAAATATCATGTTGAAATATTATTTGTGTCTGTTTCTTTCAAAAGATACATTTTTAGTCTTCTTTTTAAAAGAAATCTTTTGAAAAATTTGTTTAATCTTTTTTATAATATCTTTTCTAAATTTTCGATTTAATCATTATTTTTATATAAAATTACTCGAACAACAATTGGTAATGATCAATAAAAAATAATGTTTTTGACTCTCTAAGTTGACATCGATTAATTAATTACTTAAGCGGAAAATCATTAAAATAGTTAAAAACAATTTTATAAAAGATACAAATTGTTAAATAAACTAATCATTAAGTAAAATTTCATTTTTTAAATCTTGTAAATGTTAAAGATGTGATCGAAATTAATTTTTAATAAATACCTTACATCAATAATATAGTTAATACAATATGAAAGTAATTGTAATAATTGTTTGTGAGAGGTAGTACTAAAGGAATTCTAAATACAATATCAGGGGCAATATTAAAGAAGTCTCACTCATTTAATGATCTTCATAAACATAAAATTTCAACTTATCTTTGTGAAATGTTGAATTTGAAAGAAGAAGATCCATCTACAAATGCTATTGCTAACCATTGTTATTTGTAGGCGTTGACTTTCCACAAGTGCAATAACTTGGTAGTTGAGGATTTGACGATAAAAAATGGCCAACAAATTCATGTTTCATTCCAAGACTCCGTGAATGTTAAAGTTTCCAGTCTCACTGTGACAGCACCGGAGAACAGCCCAAACACCGATGGAATTCATGTCACAAACACCCAAAACATCCAAATCTCTAGCTCCGTTATAGGAACTGGTACTCTTAATTGATCTTCTCATTATTCTACATGAATTTTCAAAACAATAAAATTAGAAAATAGTTGAATTTCATGTGTTGGCAAATCCCTTTTATTTGGTTTAATTTTCAATGCATTGCAGGTGATGATTGTATATCAATTGTAAGCGGGTCCAGGAATCTGCTAGCCACAAACATAACCTGCGGACCAGGCCATGGTATCAGGTATATATAAAGGTTATTATGACTGATATTTACCGATATAAATTTTAAAATAATTGTTATATTTTTTTTAAAGAAAAACTTACTAAGCGTACATAAAAAAATTATATAATTTATGATTTCAATTAAGTTTTTCTAGAACTCTTTCTATCACTGGTTAATATTGTTAAGACTTATCACAAGTTAAAAATAATTTAAAATGTGACTTTGTAATAATTATCTCAGCATCGGAAGCTTAGGGGCCGAGGAATCCAAGGAATTTGTTTCAGGAGTAACGGTGAATGGGGCAAAGTTTTCTGGGACTACAAATGGAGTAAGAATTAAGACATGGCAGGTAATTTGAATTTTGAACATCTTTAATTTTTCTCACTTTAACATTAATATTTATTAAATATTCTGAATGATAAATTGCATAATTTAATTCATAACAGTCAGTGACGGATCCATAAATTTTAGATAGTGGGGTAATACTTATTCATATATTTGTAATATTAAAATTTTTACATATAATTTTTAAAAGCATAAATATATATCATAATTATTTTTTACAAGTTTTTATATCTATGATTACAAGTAAAGATGAAAATAAATTAGGTTAGACTAAATTTTATTATAATTTAATAGGTTTGAACCTAACTTTCTTTAAAAATATATATTCTAAATATGACTTATTTATCTATCATAGACATTTTTTAAATGTTTAGTTAGAACTACAATCTTAAATACCTACTTTATAATAATTTACTATTAAAAATATAAAATAAATATGTTAAATTTTATAAAAATCAAATTTAATTTATGTATGATATAAACATATTTTTAATATCTAATATATATTTTTAGATGATAATTTATTTTAAAATATATTTTATATAACAATTCTAAATGGAACATAAATCTTCCAATTTTTCTTATATTAATTTTTTTGATCAACATATACAATAACTAGAAAATGTAAAAGGTAAACATGCATACTGTAAATTTTATTTTTATCAAAAATTCCTTCATTATAATATATATATATATATATATATATATATATATATATATATATATAGGGAGCATATCAAGTGAGAGAGAATTTATTATGAGAGATGAGAGGGTTAAAATATAACCCTTAGATTAATCAAGTGAGTTAATCACCTATAACTGCCAGTGTAAAGTTTTTTTTACACTAACAACCAATTATATCTTTTAATTGTGTCATGTCACCATAAACACATTTACTTTTAACAGTGACATGACACAATTAAAAGATATAATTGATTGCCAGTGTAAAAAAAAATTACACTATCGGTGATTAACTCTATATATATTATAATTAGATTTTTTAAGAAAATTGATTCGTTATTAAGAAATATTCTTTATCACATAAAAGAATTAATATTCTTCAAAAGTTTGATAAATATCAAATAAATGAATATCTTTTCTGAATCTATATTTTATATATATATGATAATTTAAATATATTTTATTTATTTTACTAAAATATAATTATTTTTTTTAAAATATATTATTTTTTAAATAAAAAATATTTATGTGTGAAATAGTAGTGGGGACAAGTGCCCCACTACTGTGAATCCGTCAATGATAACAGTACTTCATGTAAACCCTTTTTCTAACATGTACATATATATATGCATGCAGGGAGGGTCCGGAAGTGCAAACAGAATTCAGTTTCAGAACATTCAGATGGACAACGTGACCAATCCCATAATAATAGATCAAAACTACTGTGATCAAGCGACACCTTGCACAAAACAAGTAAATAATCAAATTATCTACCTATTACTAGGAAAGTGTAGATCCAGATTCTATGCAACTGAATTTTTCAGGCATTCATATAATCAGTGAATTAAAACCGTAGGATGAAGATCAGATGTAAAATATGACTTGTTTGATCTTCATCTAAGGGTTCAAATTAGGGTCAGTATTAGGATAATAAGTGAAGCTTAAAACAAATTTTGAGAGAATTATTTCTTTCAAGAAAAAAATATATGTCGAGTCTTTTCTAACAAATGTGACCTTTTTTCCAACATATGAGACCATTTTACTTTAAAAAAACTAAAAACAATTTTTGTTTTAGATTTAAAGATTAAGTTTTAGTAGCTTTATCTTGGCCTACATAAGATTAATTTGGTTAGTATAGTATTGAGAGTTTTGTTTATTTGATTATTGATGATTAATTTGGTTTTGTGCCTGCAGCAATCTGCAGTTCAGATTAGGAATGTGTTGTACCAAAACATAAAAGGCACAAGTGCTTCCGATGTGGGAGTGCAATTTGATTGCAGCAAGAACTTTCCATGCCAGGGAATAGTGTTGCAGAACATAAACCTGCAACTTGAAGGTGGAGGAAAAGCCAAGGCTTCATGCAACAATGTTAAATTGACCTACAAAGGAGATGTTGACCCTCACTGCCCATAGAAAGAGGAATGACACTCACCAAATGCAAAGACACTTGCACATATGCTCAACCAATAAGGCTTTGCAGCAGCCAATTAATACAATAATAATATGTGATATACTGATATTGATGATTGGTAGTGATGATTGTTATTATTTGTATATATATACGTTTGATAAATAAAATTCAACTTATGCTATTTTTATTTTACTTCTAATTAACTTCCAAAACTATATATATAGAAAGAGAGAGATGCGTGCAATCTTTACTGCCAAAAGTTGAATCAAGTTTAAATCTTGATTAAGAGTGTTATATACCATTTAAATCATAACAAGATAATTATGAAGATCAAAAATCTTATATATGCATGAGAATAAACCAAAAATCTTGATTAAGATCTCAAATTTGAGTATTGTAAACGAGAAAAAAATAAAATTAGGAAAAGAGACACGCTAAAGATAATTCAAGGTAAAAATAATTATTATTTTAAAGTTTATAAATATTTCATATTAATAATATAATTATAAATATCAATTTATTATAAATAAAAAAATTAAGTTTAAATATGTTTTTAGTCCCTATAAAATTAATGAATTTGATTTTGGTCTCTCTAAATTTTTTTCTTTATTTTTCATCATTCTAAAATTTATAAATATTGTTTTTAGTCCTTATAAAATAAATAAATTTTGATTTTGATCTCTGTAAAATATTTTTTTTTTAATTTTTATCTCTTTAAAATATAAATTAACTATTTTTAGTTCTTAATGATTATTTTAAGACAGATAAATATCATTTATTTTAAAGACTTATAAATTTTTCTTAGAAGTATTAAATATCAATTATAATATCAGTAATGATTATAGGTAACACTTCAGATAATTATTTAATTTTTTAATAGATAAAAGGTAGTTAAAAAATAATTACATGAAAATAGGGATTAAAAATAATTTTAATTTTATAAGAATGAAAAATATAGAAAAAAAAATTACGTAAAAGAGATGACGTAATAGCCTCATTTTCCACTAGTAACAGGAACTAAAATTAAAATTTACTAATTTTATAGAGACTAATTAAAAACATATTTAATCCAAAAATTTAATTAACAAGTACACTAACAAGGTCAATTGGTTCTCTCCGGCAATCGAAACAACTTTTTTCCACAAGGTTACTAAATTTACACATGTCCCCAAGCAAATGTCATAGCTGAAATCTGGGGAGGATGATATCCTTCACACCAACCAGGCCATTGAGAAACCGTACATTCTGCATTGCTGCACTTTGCTATATGCCTATATCCTACCAACACTTGGTGGTGCTCATTCTCAAAGTTTCCTGGTGCAAATAGAATAGAAGACCACAAACCCAATCACTATAACACAGAGTTTTTACTTTTTAGCAAGATTTAAAAAATGTTATTTAATTGTATATAAATATTATTAATTTATTTTTACAATATATTATTAAATATTGTATATATTTTATGTTACTAAAGATTTTTAATAATATTTTTATATAATTAAACAACATTTTTCAAATGTTATTAAAATTGTATTTTTGTATCATTTTAATAATATTGTTATATTTTTGTTAATTTTATAAAATGATAATTAGTTTTAATTTAGATGTTAGTATCGATTATTATATTTTTATATCTCCTAAACTCTTAAAAGTTCTTTAAGAGAAGGTTGAAGACATTCTTGATTAGGCACCACTAATTATATATCAAATATCAAAGTTCATTTATCTTAAATATAACTATATAATTATATATACTCTTTTTAAGTCATTCATTTATTCTATGTGAGACTTTAATTATGAATAACAATTAAAGATGAGATAAATATATTTTTTACTCAATGTGGGACTTTGACTTTAAAAACAATTAGAAAGAATAATGTTGAGATAAAAAAAAATGCTACTTATTTGTAGTAACATTTTTTATAAAAAAAAAAAGTTACAAAATAACCTATGCGACATTTTTTTATTCAATATGAGACTTTGATTTTGAAAACAATTAGAAATAATAATATTGAAATAAAAAATATTACTCTATCTTTAGTAACATATTTTTCAAAAAAACTGTTGGAAAATAACCTATTTATTCAATATATATTGTAACATTTTAACAAATGTCAGAGAGAAAATATTACTAAAGAATTAAAATATAGTAGTGAATATAACTCTAACTAGCTTTCAATTCAAGACCATCACAGAAAAAATCCTAGCTGATAGGCTAGTTAGCATCGCCCCAAAGATTATGTGAAAAAGTATGGTTTTAAATTGCGGTTGCGGTTGCGATTAAAGTCATTGGACTGTGAACATTACAACTATTGTGATGTAGATTGCGGCTGTTACAACATGAAATCATTAATTATTTGTACTAAATATAAAAAATTTACAATTATTGATAAATATTTTATTTTTAGGATTTATACATTTTTATTCCTTTATCTTAAAGAAATCCTATTATTTTAATGGATAATTTAATTTATTTTAAAATTAATTTAAAAGTAAGAGAAACACAATAGTGATTGGATTAATTTCATCTTAATATTTATCATAATTCCTCAAAAGTAGATTGTCTCATTTACATAGAGTAACATGACTGCTTACAAGTTTCATTGTTATCAATTATTTGAGAAGCAATGCCACATTTTGTAGATGCATTTCGCTGCAAGGAAAAAAATATGAAAAATAACTTTATTAATATTGTAAAACTATAAAAAGCATGAATATTTTTTTCACAAATAAAAAATTATATATAATAAAATTTTAACTCACATGATACTTAATTATTACCACATATATAGTAGAGTGGTGAGGATGATCATAACCTCCACTCTCACTTTGGCTATCCCCTTGTGTTGCTCCTTGTCCCAAAACATAATAAAAAAAATCACCACTTTGTTGTTGATAATAAAGATCATTATAATTCATTGATGGTTGGTGGTATGAGGGGACTTGCTCATTTGCATATTGATTGTATGCATTAAAATAAGGATATTGATAAATTGGTCGTGGATAGTACCCTTAACTACTTTCTCAAGAATCATCAATATTGAAGTCCTAAAACTTTGTTCAATATGAGAAATAAATGATCAAAAGGAATCATACTTGGCAAAAAAAGCGGTGAAATCAATTATCAGATTTGTGTCACACCTATTATATGGAATCTCTTGATGATATTCATCATTTTGTCTTTGTTCATCCTTGCCATCATTTTCTTCACATTCAATATCACCACTATTATTACTTGGTGGGCTTAAGTCACCACCATCATTATCACTATCTCCACTTTCCACATCTTCATCATCTGTATTAGTTCGAGGTAACCATTCTAAATTTTGAACTCTATCTAAAAGTGGATTTTTTGTTACTTTTATCTATGGAGATAATGAATCATCTTCTTGAAATATATAGTCAAGATTAATTGGATTTGAAACTTGCTTCAATTTCTTCCTAACTTTTCTCATTTGATGCCTCATTTTCAATTTCATGTTGTAATGTGTAAAGACAAGTTTTTGAATTTTTTTGTACTTAAGCCTATTCCTTGTCTTTGTATAAATATAGCTTAATATACTCCAGTTTCTTTCATAATTTGTAGCTGAAGTTGTTTGACTTAAAACTTTAATAGCCACACATTAATGTTTGGGAGAGCATGAACCAAACATCAACCACCATTCACCTTTTTTTTTTTTGGTGTTGTGCACCATTCACCTTTTTAAAAGAACAAGTAAAAACAAAATTATTATTTATAAAAAAAATATTTATTTATTAAGAAAGGAAGAAACTATATTTACCTAGATTCATTCTAGACCAACCTCTTTGATCATCCATGTTTTTCTCCAATTTCATAATGACCTTTTTGGTCCCTTCAAATATCTCTTGATATACATCAAATCCATGTTCAACTCCATATTAAATTTTTGTGTATTAAGTAAATAACCTAAAAAAAATAGTTAATCAATATGTATCTATAATTGTATGAATGTATTGTTTTATAACAAAAGTAAAAATATAATGAGATACGAGCAGAATGAAGATCAGAATGCATAAATCTCCAATGTTTGTCAATTATTTATTGGTATTGAGAATAATAATGAGAATTTTTTTATTTGATAATTTTTCTCGATTAATATGCACCAACTTAAATACCATTGCGTTTATGCATGTTTTTAAAAAAATTTATTATTGATTACCTTTAACCAAAATTATTATATTTAAATAAATTAAATATTAAAAATCTAAATACATTAGTAATGATTTTGGATGTCTCATCTCTGACAATATGGTGTCATTTTGCACTAGTACAAAAATGATTTTTAAAATTGAGATTTTAAAATCGGTCATAAAGTAGACAATTTTAAAAGTGACGCGGTGATAATTTCGTAAATAATGGCATTACTTTTAAAATCGGTTACGTTATGACCTTTAAAAGTCTTTGATGCTACTTTTAAAATCGGCTGTTGAAGAGCCGATTTTAAAAGTCCCACTTTTAAAATCGGCTCTTCAACAGCCAATTTTAAAAGTCTACTTTCAAAATCGGCTCTTCAACAGCCGATTTTAAAAGTCTACTTTTAAAATTGACTATTGAACAGACGATTTTAAAAGTAGCATCAGAGACTTCATGTATGCTATCTCCGCTCTCATTCTCCCCCTAGCTCCATTCTCTGCTCTTTAGCTTCATTAGTTCATATATTCTTTTCTTTACAATCTCGGGCTCTCATCTGAAGTGTGCAGCTTCTCATTTTTTCGGAAGAATACAACATCAAGGTAACATTCTCGTTTCATCTCTCTTATTTCGTTGTTGCTGGGCGAATTTTGAGTCTGGAACGGCCCGAGAACAACCCGTTCTGCAAGCAGTACCGGCCGTTCTACTTGCAGAACGGCCTGTACTGCTTGCAGAACGGGCCGCACTACAAGCAGTACAGGGCGTTCTGCCTGCAGCACGACCCGTTCTGGGGCTGTTCTGGGGCCTTTCCACTAACAACACTATGCATTGCACAATTGTTCCAAATGTCTTGACCTCGGATTTCCTCCACAGTGGGAAGTCTTATGGGCTCAATCTGAGGCTTCTCTACTTCTGTTGAGTTCGAAGAAGCATTTTCAATTCCTTTACCCGCGTCATCACCCTTTGGTAAAAGCTCAAATCCAGGATATGGTAA